CATTGCTATTAGGTTGGAGGCCATTGCTATTAGGCTATTTGGTTGGAGGTCATTGCTATTAGGCTATTAGGTTGGAGGCCATTGCTATTAGGTTGGAGGCCATCGCTAGTAGTTTGGAGGCATCGCTAGTAGGTGGGAGGCCAGGAGGCCATTGTTATTGGGTTTGAGGCCATCGCCAGTAGTTTGGAGGCCTTGGAGGCCATTGCTATTAGGCTATTAGGTTGGAGACCATGGCTATTAGGTTGGAGGCCATCGCTAGTAGTTTGGAGGCATTGCTATTAGGTTGGAGGCCATTGCTATTAGGCTATTAGGTTGGAGGCCATTGCTATTAGGTTGGAGGCCATCACTAGTAGTTCGAAGGCATTGCTATCAGGAGGCCATTGTTATTAGGTTGGAGGTCATCGCTAGTAGTTTGGAGGCATTGCTATTAGGTTGGAGGCCATTGCTATTAGGTATTTGGTTGGAGGCCACTGCCATTACGTTGGATTAGGTAGGTTCAAGGGCGCTTGGCGTGAAACGGGCCCGGCACAATCAGACAGACGATGCCACGGAGTCAGACGGACGAACCATGCCCTTGTCCAAACAGGGTGTTGCATTTTCCACCATCCACATGTCGCCTTGCCGCCCGTGGGTAGGATGTCCCTGCCTTTCATGTGACCCAGCAGACGCCTGTCGGACGATATTCAGCTATCACTGGGGTTGCTAGGGTGACCAGTTGCTGAAGCTACTTATAGGAGTTATGCACAGTTTTCCAAAAAGGGAATATTTTGGCACCCGGCACTGACTTGGGAGATCCTTTTGCTGTCTTGCTCTGCAGGAGCCCTAGGGCCGTCCAGAATGAGCATGTTGATGGTAGGTCAAGAGGCCCTCAAAAGTCTTTTGACACCCACAACGGCTCAATTGCATATTCATTAAAGATCATTCAAGCTAACCAAGTTCGAGCCCTTGCAGGGAGATAAGCACATCAAATGACTGCACCCTCAAGCCACGATGCACCCTCAAGGTATGCCAGGTTGTGGTCTTCTAACCACTTGGCTGGAGTTTCATTTTTGTTGCTTTTTGCAATCTCTAAGACTCCCTTGACCCAGTTCTGTGCACCCCAAAAAGTTACGGCCCCCAATCCACTGTATCCACCTGGAAAAAGAGTTGCACGCTGTTGTGCGCATTTCCATCTCCACCTGGGCCATCCGCAGATGTGCGCCTTGGCACAGGAAGTGAACCTTCAGAACGAGGCTGGCACCTGGCTCACCTCCAAGGATGCCATCAACGCCATTGACGCCAACAACAACAACGGCGTGGCCGCCGCAGGCTGAACGAAAGAGCGAAAAAGACCAGCTGTTTGGGGATACCATGAGCTACCCGATCGCTTCGTTGATTTCTTAGTATTTTCTTGCAAGCTCGCAGGGTAGAACACGATTGGGCACCTCTGAAACACAATCTTGAACACACGAAGAGCTTGCCATGTTGGTGTAGTTCAGGAGTTGACGAGGTACCCATAACTCACTGGCAGCGATCGGCAGGGTCCGCAGCTTCGGCAGGCAAAGCGGCAGTGGATGCCGGTGACATTCCCTCCAGTGCGACCGCTGACTGGAGCAGCGTCAACCTCTACCGAAAGGCTGGAACAAACACTTGGCCTATCGTGGCTCGGCGCGGAGGGGCCTGTGAAGACCTGCTCATCAGCCGCTTACCACGATGGGGGTGGCCCAAAATCTAGCAAATTGTATGGTCTTTTGGCAAGTGCAGACTGCAGAGTCCAGTGAACTCAGATCTCGATGTCCAGAACCCTAGAGGCCCTAGCACCTTCAGTCACTCCGAAGAAAGGTCCGGAGATCAAGACCCTTCACTTGGCGTTGACTCACACCGTGTCATACATTCATTTGAGATGTTTGGTAGGACAATTGTGATGTTCCTGATTGAGGGCCTTTGGCTCTTGAATCCTGTTCAGTCACCGAGATGTTGACTTGGCGAGTTCATCGAGAATGCCGAGCCGCAGCTCGGGATTTGCTGAGGTCTTGGTGTCCTACATCTACCTCAACAAGGAGTCTTTGGTGTCCTCATGTTGGTTGACCGTTGTCAACTGAATCAATCCCAACCAGTTGAATTGAGTGACTATATATTAATATCTGATTCATGCTGAACATGGTGCCCTTAGAAGACTTCAGATGACAGACTTGATGCCATCCTACAGTTTTCCACCCAGCCTCTTGGCCTCCGAGCTGCTCTTGTGCAGGACATGTCCACCATGCCACCGGAGAAAGTGGCCCTCCTGAAGGTCTTTGTGGACTTTGTCTTGGGAGAAGGGCCACTTGGAAATGTAATTCAACCTGTGGGGAGCAGGACTCCTTTAGAGACGCTTGGTCGGGTCTATCTTATGTATTGCCAGCAGTTGGGGGTGAATTATCAGCAAAGAATTCCACGCCCAGCATCAGAAATTGTGTGAAACTCAGCCTATTGGGGTCGGGATCAGAAAGCCCCCTTAGGTTGCCCTTTTTGGGTTGTCATGAAGGATGTGAAAGGAAGAAGTCGATCCATCAGTCCCTTGGGGTCCTTTTAGGATCCCCAGGATGGCTGTGCCCGTGGATCCCTTGCAGGGCACTTGCTGGAAGGAGCCCTGGAGCGATGGTTTGGAGGGAGTTCCCGAACCATTTGCTGGATGAGATGGAAGGTCTCAGCGCAAAGCGCGCTCCCCCAACTTTAGGTAGCTTTCGGTGCCAAACATAGCATCATCACCAGCATTCTTGTCACTTGGGATGGACGCATGCCACAATCGTTGTGATGCATGTCCCCTTGGTACACTCAACTGTTACATAAACACTCACATGGATCTCACGTGGTATCATCCCGGACACACCCTTCGAATCCCTTTGGATCGAACACCCAGGCAGGGGATGCTCCCGGATTTCTCCTTCAACTCGGTGCCCGCCGCCATGAACCAGTGGGCCAGCGTCTGGGCGTCCATCACCAAGCCAGCAGGCGGGGTGCTGAAAGAGCTTGGACAGTGTCCAGTGTATGTCTAGTGTATGTATGTGTGTCTAGGGGATGGGTCAAAACCTGGAGCCCTGGTCCACCATGTAGCTTGACCTTCAGATAATTAGGTCAACCGCTCGGTCTCCTGGTTTAAGGTTTGGACCCACAGCCAAACAAAGACAACTTTCTGCCCTTCTAGACCAGGACACAGCTTTAAAAACACTGGGCTCTGAGCTCTTTCCGGAAGACTATGATAGGCTACGTATGGACTAGCCAATCTGTCTTTTGTCTCCACTGGGGAACCGCCATACTTGGCTGATGGGCGCGTGGGCTAGTTGTCATACTGTGCTGCTGGGGCTTTTCCAACAATGCGCGATAGCAAATTTCGAATGGAGGCGTTTCCTGGGACCTACATTTTGCTTAGCACCTCCACCTACAATGCTGGCTGCTATTAGGGTTGGGTGTCAGCACATTCCTGTGGTAGCTGTGGGGTGTGGGGTGTGGCAGTCCAAAACTGTTTTGAGGATGATTCTCGCTTGCCTGTGGAAAAAAGGAACACTAAGGAATATGGACTCTGGACATCCTGGAGAGGACGATATTAGAATGCAGACCTTCTTTTGGTAGGGTTTTTGGGGTTGAACGGCGAGGCTTGCAGGAGATGACCTTGAAGACCAGCACCGATCCGTCGCTTGGAGAAACCGGAAGAAGCCACGGATCCGCCAGGGCTGGGTGTTTTGTGCCCAGCACATCCCAGAGCTTTTCATCGGCCGGTCGTCCATTGGCACCTTTTCTTACGGAACGGATCAGCCCAGATAGATCCAGATCGTCCATTCGTTTCTTTTTAAATAAATATCTGGAGGGTAAACCTGAGTCGAGGTGAGTGACTCATAGCCCCTGGAGCGCCCATTTTGTTAGATGTCAGATGAGGATAAATGGGGATGGGCTCTTGACCCACCTGGAGCCCGACCAGTCCACCATTTGCAGCGGTCGACCGCGGTACGGTCTCCTGGTGCCATGACCCACAGCCATGTCCGCATACTCTCTCTCGCTCTCTCTCTCTCTCTCTACATATATATATATATATATATCCAACCATCTGAGCCGAGAGTATCGAAGAGCCCAGAACTGAAGAAATCTGATCTCCTTTGAGAAGGAGATGGAGCAACTTTGACCCTCTGTCGGCGAAAGGAGCCTCAGAGCTGCTCTGTTCTTGACCCTCACAACTGGGGTTTTGGACCCACAAACAAAAATAGGTAGCAACAGTGGCGCCTGGGGCCAAGTTCGGGTCACGTCTGGGTTCCAAAGATTCTCATCTCCCGATTCAGTCACTTCGTTTGGACAAGTGCTTGGCGCCACGAATTCGGGCCCTCGGGCGTCAGGCTTGTTTATTATATTATATGTGCATATATGTGCAGTATATTAATTAATTGTTCTTTTTTGGGGCTCATGTGAGGTGGAATGGACAAGCAATGGATGTGGTGACCAGCAAGAGGAACTCCTACTCGCTCTGGAAGCTGGAGCCTCCTTCAGCAAGTTTCGGGTTTTGAAACAGGCAAGCCCTGTGAGTCCCAAGAGGTGTGTGTGTGTGTGTGCGTGTGCAATGAAGGACATCACTTAAGCTTGCAGAAACGAACATGGAAGCTTAAGCAAATCCTGTCCGTCGCAGCAAGGTCTCTTCGTATGTCTTCTCTCCGCGTGAACCTTCAATTTTGTTTTTGAGTGCATGGTCCTATGCATAGCCTACTGTCCAGCCCTAGCCTTTTCATAGGCACCCAAACAATGGCCCCCAAGTCCGACCCTGTTCAGATGAAGGGCCAACGTGAGGACTTGCATGGGTTCTCTTGCTTTTTGCAGGGGTGCTCTGACATGGATACTCAATGATACAATTCCCCCTGACTGTTTGATTTACACATGCACATGTTTAATCATATTTAGTTCTTTTGTATATGTTGATGTCATACTGGGTCGATCTGGTCTACCAAGTCTACTAGCCCATAAATTGAGGAGGCCCAGGCGGCCCAGGCCAAGCAGGAGCGACCAACTGGGAACACTGACACCAGGGACCAACTGGTGAGAGTCCTCTCGAGTGGTCTGAAGCAACCGGAAGTGAAAGCAGATAGTAGATGTCCATAGATGACCTCTAACAAGGGTAAGATGATGGCATATGGATACCTCTTCTTCTACCACCAACAACTCCTGGCAGTGGAACATGGATGCTGCTTGAACAGCTTCCTTTGCAGCTGGTGCCATGCTCTGCTTGACCTCGGACCTCACGGACCGGTGCCGGACCGGTGGCGGACTGAGGATGATTTGGAAACGGCCATGAGCGCCATGAAGGCGCGCCTTGACGCGATGGAGACCCATTTGGATGGCTACGGCATCGTCCCTCTCCATGGCTCCGGCACCACCAACACCAAGAATTGGCGCTTCGGGTGGCAAACTGGGGGTGGACTGGTTGGTAGTGGGGGGAGGGCAGTGGGACAGATGTTTCAAGGAGAAGGTGTTTGGTGGTTTCCCAACGGCGATTGTGCTGGAGACTAAGACAGTTCACAATTTTCTGAGATTCTTTTGCCACTCTACTTTCGACCATAGCCAGGTCCAGGGCGCCGAGGTAGCTTGTGTGAGCTTAACTTGTCTAGTCCATGGTTTTTGCGACAGCTGAGGATGACGATGTGTTGAGGATGTTTTGGAACAAAACTTGTAACTTTTCGGCCGGCCGTGCGTCGAGTTATATCATGCACTTGCACGGGTTAAGGGGCCGGCCAATTGTAGCCTGACAAAGGAGCACTGAAGAAGAGAAGAGAAAAGAGAAGAGCAAAAAAATAGAAAAGAAGACAACAGCTAATGGGAAGGGCAAAATCCCAGGAGCCCCATGGCAGTCGTGGAGGTCGCGGGAAGAGACCCCGCCTGGGCAAACAAAAACCCCGCGACCTGTGAAGCGACAGTGATGCCCAGGCGGAGGGAGGATCATCCCTCCGGCAAAGGGCTGGCGCGAGCGGCGCGCGCGTGCGACGCGCGTGCAAGGAATCGGAACCCCCGCAGGGCACAAGACAGGGTTGGCAGCCCTGGCCGCGGGGCGGCCAAGACAGAAAACTGAAGTATAGCTGAACAACTGAAGTATATTTGACAACCAAGACAGCAACAAACATGACAACAAAGCATGATGAAAAAGATGTGTCGCACATTTTTAAATTTTACAGGGGGAGGTGTGATGAGGTCGGCCAGCGCCCACCTCATTCATCCTCGACGACACTAAGCCTACACAATGCAGGGGTTATATAACCCCCTACAAAATGGTTATTTTTGTAGTGGACAGCGCTGGGTGATGGGTTGGGTTACTCGGTGCTTCAATAGTTTCCAAGCGGCAGTTTCCCAACCACCCTTAAACATGTCAATGAAAAGTTTAAGGTGTCCATCACAAAAGAACACTTTGAAACAAAAAACTGACTTCGTTCTCGAGGCCGGATCTTCTAATTCAATACCCCTTTTGGATCACATTTTTCCCCAAAAAGTTTACTGTTGGGGTTCCGTCTTAGGAAAAAAGTGCTGGCCGCGGTCTCCGGGTCTTGTCCTCATCTTGCCCTCCTCTTGTCTGGCTGTTGTCCTCTGGCAGCGCTGGCCTACCCTGTGTCCTCCTCTTGTCCTCCTGTTGTTCCCTGGCCGCGCTAGCCTACC